ATTTGGGCTGTTTATTTTTGGAACCTACCCAGGCAAAAGCTTTATTTCCAAGACTGTTTTTGGTTTGGCTATGTTTGTTTTGCTTTTGGTTATCTACTTGATCGCGAGCCAATGACTGTGTTAAGATTGCAGCTGGGGGTTAGATGAAAACGTGAAACAGAACTGTTGGGGCAACGGACTGAATAAAGCTCTCTATACCAACCCTGACATGTGGGTGAATGAGGGCAGCACAGATGCTATGAATACAAGTCACATTCTCTCTCCAACACAGACACAACCTATATATGTATGTGTGTATATATAGGGTATGCATGTATAATATATATTGCTGAAAGCTGCACCTTCTGATATTGCCTCCTCTTAGGACAATTCCTGAATGTAGAAACAGTAAATGGCTGTAGAACACTCATTGAAAGAAATATATTTTCTCTTTTGAAATTTAGCAAGAAGTTTGTGAAAACTGAATAAAGACCTTTATTGAAAATACAGGTAATCCTTGCTTACTGAATGACTGCTCATTCGGTGAATGCTGGAACTTATGGCAATGCTGAAAAATGAGATTTTGGAATGGTCTTCAAACCTGTGGCTGTCACATCCTCAAAGTCACATGATTACGATTGGCAACCAGCACACATTTATGAGCGTCGCAGCTTCCTACAGTCACAAGATCATCATTTTTTCAATCTTCACATCCAGCTTCGGACAAGCAAAATCAATGGAGAAATTGGCAAGAAGTCGGAAGTCATGGTTACATGATGTTCCACTTCATGACCTGTGTTGATCTGCTTAACATGTCATAAGTCAAATGCACTCTCATGACTTTATGACTGAATTGCTTAGCAACACAGTTGCCAGTTCCAACTGTGATAAGTGAGGACTTCCCATATAGCAAAAGTCTTCCAAGTATATTTCGAAATATAGCACATGTACATGAAGTCTAGAAACCACATGCAGGAAGGATTGAAAGTTTTATGAATCAGGAAAAAGATCCAAAGGAGGACAACAAAGATAATACTCGATTTGAAAACCCTTATGAAAAAGAATGTTCAGTTTGAAAATAAGAAGACTCAATGCAGATATGATATTAGTATTCAGATACATAAAAAGGCACAGAGAGAAGACAGCCAGAAACTATTTTCTATTGTTAAAAAAATTAAGATTGGAAATTAAAGGCACAAAGTACAGATATCTATATTTCATTTAATTATAAATTTATGATTTTTAAAAATAGTTTGTATTAAAAAAGATTTTAAACATATGATACACTCAATAAAAATATAGTAAAGTAAATGTGATAAAGAAATAAAAAGAAAAAAGGAAAAGGAAAAGCCAAAGAAAACAAAAAATAAAACAAAACATATACAAAGAAGTGGCTTTCAATCTTTCTCTCGGCATTTATACATATAATTCTAACCAACCTCCAAGATTTGGAGTGAATATATAGGTTTGAACAATGTACATCTCTATAAACCAATCATGAAAACCAACATGATACATACATTCCTCAGTAGTCATAGTAACATAGTTCAACTAAAGGCTGAGATATACTAAGGCTTTAATCCTATCAATAACATACCTGCACTAACAAACATTCTTAAGTGTTGTCTCAAAAAGCTGTTTGTACCCAGTGTGCCATGCCCAATGAAACACACAGTGCGGTAGAGAGAGTGCACAGGAAAAGGACATGAGGATCACTCACAATAGGCCTGTGTAAAGGCCACTCCTTATAATACAGCTTTTATAGTTACCTCTCCATATGCCCACCTTAAACCCTCATAGGTCATCCTATGATCTTATTGGTGTTAACTGAATTCAGCAAAGTAAATTCACGTTTTTCAGCAAATATTTAACTAGCATCACCAATTAGCACATTTGTCCCTAATTTCCAATAATAATCAGCATGTTATACCATAATTAGTACATAGCCCCCAAGTTCCTGTTTTCCCAAATCTAAGCTGTGGTGGCACAGTGGTTAGAATGTAGAATTGCAGCCTAATTCTGCTGAGTGCCAACTGCCAGTAGTTTGATTCTGACCAGCTCAAGGTTGATTCAGCCTTCCATCCTTCCAAGATTGATAAAATGAGGACATATTGTTGGGGGCAATATGCCAACTCTGTAAACTGCTTAGAGAGGGCTGGAAAGTACTGTGAAGCGGTATATAAGTCTAAGTGCTATTGCTATGATATGTATGGGGTTTCACTTGAGCAAGTACTAATTACTTTGCTTTTGTAAGCATTCTTGACCATTATTGCACATTAGCATGTTACTAAGCATCAAGGCCTATCTGCTTTTAGGTTTTAACTTCTTAATATAAATGTCAACTTTGAAATGGACCAGGTCTGCCACAGCCATCTATCCGTTTCTCAGCTGCACATAATATGGGAGTGGGGAGAGGTTTGGAATGTCAGACCAGACTATAACAATGCATCGTCTAATGCAGGGGTCGGCAACCTTAAACACTCAAAGAGCCACAGAGGTCCTAACCGTTCAATTCTGGAGCCGACCGGAAGTCCAGTTCCCCCATCATAGTATCTCCTCCTAGTGCAGCGTCCTTTTTCCTCTGCTGACCGGAAGTCCGGTTCCCCCACCATAGCGCAGCGTCCTTTTTCTTCTACCTGTCCTAACCCTATCAATTGTGGATCTGACCGGTGACAGGGAGCCGCAGCAGAGGGATGAAAGAGCCACATGCAGCTCCAGAGCCATGGGTTACCAACCCTTGGTCTAGTGGGAACCAAGGTCATCTCAACAGATGTTGGCCAGAGGAGTTATCAGGGAAACGCCAGAACACCTAATTGGACAATGTGATCTGTGACAATGGGGGACGGAGCTAGTTATTTTTTAATTATGTTGAAACCGTGGGAAATAGAGTTGGTTTTGTTTTCCTTCGTGTCAAACTGATGTACTCAATAAAACAGTTCTTTGAGGAAGTTTCAAATCTCAGAGTACTGAATTGATTAGATTCATTAGTCAAAATCTTGACAATAAAGGTATTAGGGGAAGGGGTTCTTAACCTTTTCATCATAAATAATTGGTTATCTACCATCTTAACAAGCAGATATAAATACAAAGGCAGATCGTCTGGTTCCCCTCTAGTGCATCATATATGCCTAACAAGTAACCAGCAGAATAATTACAAAATATCAGAGCTATAATTATGTGCTAAATAATAATGAGAGAAATGAGAATTATTCCTGTAAAGAATAGAGAAAATGTAACGCCATACTAACCTAAGAATCCCCGATGGGGAATTATGTAAGGAATTGTGTAAGAATATTCACTATAAGACAGTAACAAGGCTTATTATAAACAAGGCTAATTCCAAGCACATTCCAGTCAGAAGGAAAGTTGGCAGGTCAAAGGAAGATAGTTGTCAGGTCAAGAAACCAGTTGTCACACTAAAATTAACAATGCTGACTATGGTGGACTGACATTCTAAATGAGACACAGGGAAATGTCTGAGAAAATGCCAGCCCTGAGTGAACTCAGGTAGCAGTATTTATTGAGAAAAAACACAAGCAAAAATACAGTATGCATATTCAGAAAACAATGACCTCAACAGGAGATTACTTCACCAGCATGAGAACACACAATCTTGGAAAGTCCCAGATGTTACCTTACTAGGATGAGATCATACAGCCACGGAAAGTCTCATGGGAAAGTTTGGAAAGTCCCATGAGAAAGCACAACTGTGTACCTTGAACTTTTACCTATTTTCCTATTCCTTCTAAACTTGCAGAATCAAACAGGATGAGACACTCATGAGCAAAGGTACTCCTACCCCCACCAAGAATGTCTATATCCCTAGACTTATTGCTAGTTATTCAAAGGCCTTACAGAAAATGATAAAATGATTAATAAAATATATTACCACACTGACAATGCCAAGGAGAGGGAGAATACTGGAAATGAACAGCTACTGGGATAGAAGTGCCAGGAAGAGGAAGATTGTGCATCCAGAAATTAACCAATATCGATAAAGGGCAGGAGTTTTTAGATCCTATAAAACCATCATGTAAAATTTCTATGTAAAATGTCTTCTGTAGCTCCACCTATATGAGCACAGAAGTTTCCAGCCTTTGCAAACGCTTAATAAAGCTCCTTATTATTGTTCAAGAGTCTCCGGTTGATTTCAAACTGAGAGGGTTAAATCTCACAAATAAGCAATACATAAATTTAAATGGATTAAAGTGGCGTTTCTCATAATCTCTACCGTTGTTCCTGAAAGCTGAACAGAGAATTGTTATCTTGCCTGGTATGTTATGCGTTTTTTTGTTTCTGTTTAAATCTACTTGCTAAAGCAAGCAATAAAGCTTTAAATGTCTTTACTCGCTGGTGTGTTTGTTTCGGATCTTAAAAAAAAAATAGTTTGGCAATACGCTTTCTTGAAGAATCTTCAGAATCACAAAATAATAATTTTGGAAAGGAAATGAACCCTCCTGCTGCTATTATTCTACAGACATTGGACATTCAGCTTAAAGTCTCTTTTAGCGCCCTTGCTTCTGCCTTCTAAGTGGGGAAGGAAGTCACCTACCAGCGGTTCCCAAATGATTCGGATTCCGACAGAAACAGTTCCAAAAAACAACAACACCCCAACAACCCCAAAACCTTCACTGATTTCAAACAATATTGACCAGGCTAGTCAGAAGCTCCGGAGACCGGATTATCGACGGCTCAATTCCCTGGTTGGGGCTCTTCTACCGTCCGGCTGTTTTCAGTCCAAAGGCGCTCTCAGCTTCCATTTACGGTTCTGCAAGAGAGGAAAAAATGTCCTCAGCAAAACAAGGGCGTTTCCTCACAACCTCTTTCGACCCTCGTCCCGTTTTTTAAAGTTACTCCCCCCCCCCCTTTAATCCTTATCGCCCAAGCTCCTGCGTCGATACGCGGCTTTGGCATCTTGCGGACCGGTGCGGTATTCAAGGACTGACGATTTGGTCCGGCAGAGCCCGGCTCTAGGCCCGCCCGCCCGCGCCTCTGGAGGCGTCAGTCTCCTTCCTTTTCGCCACCCCTCCTAATTCCTCAAATCGCGGCCAGGGACGAGGAATGCGCGGCCGCGGCAGCAGAGAGCGCTCGCGGAGCGCGGCGAAGAGGACGGTATCCACCCTTCCCGCCAGCGCCTCAAGCTTCCCCGGGGAGCCTTGTTTTTCTCCTCCTCCCTCGGCTCGTGGGCGGTCCCACCTAAAGCTTGGGAGCGGAAAAGCGAAGAGGAGCTTTTCGGGGGCCGAGCCTCAGTGCTTTTCAGGATCGGCGGCTCGCAACCCGGAGAGCGGGACGCTTTCCAAGAAGCCGCGGCTCCTTATTTTTCTCTCCTCCTCCTCCCCCTTTTTCCTCGGTCTGGTCGGCGCACGGCCGCCTTTCCTCGCTCGCCCGGCGGAGTCTCCCAAGCAGGGGCTCGAGCCTTCCTCGTCTCGGCGCTGGGCTGAAAGGGGCCCGCTCGACTTTTGAAAGCGGACTCTCGGCCGCCCCGTCCTCCTTCCTTTCCCGAGAGAGGAGCCTCGGACGGGGATTTCCCCGCCGTCCTTGCCTTTGGAAACTTGGCCTCCGGGGGTGGCTGGCTGTGCCCGAGCGCACGCGCGCCCTTCTACCGCGTCGGTGGGGAGCCCCGCTTGGCCACCGAGGAGGAAGGTAGGGGACGCCTCAGCCGGGCGAGCTTCAAAGGAGACCGGAGGCGGGTCGTGGGAGGCCGGGTTTGGAGAAAGGAAAAAGGGCCTGGGGTGCGAAATGAGGAACGGAGTGAAGGAAAGGCCCGCTCTCCGCTCTTTTAATTGCAGCGAGCGGGAAAGCAGGCGCGTTGCTGCCGGAGTCCCTCCCTGACGGCTTGCTGGCCCTCCCCTAGCCCTCCCTTAGCGAGGCTGCTCCGTCCCTGGTGCAAAACAGCAAGCCGGGCGTGGGAATAGCAGAATTTAAAAAAATGGTTCAGGCGAAGGAAGCCCGGGCGAATTTTTTTTCTTCCTTCCCTTCCCTTCCCCTCCCCTTCCCTTCCCCGCTAGGCTTTCCTGATGCTTCTTTAACTTCCCAGTCAGAAGAAAGTGACTCGGGGTCCTGGATGCTGATTCCTCTTTTCTCCAGAAGTGGAAGAGTTTATACTAATTGGAACTCTCTCTCTTTTTCTCTTTTTGCAGCTGTGGAGAGAATTGGAAACCTGGGCCAGGGGGCCTCTGGCTTTGCTTGGAGCAGAAGCCTGCAGACTAACGAGACTCACCTCCACAGCTGGTGGATTACTGGGGCCTGAAGGAGAGAAAAGATGTGCCTCTGAAATTTGGTGCGGCTTTGGAGAATGGGTAGAAAGTGAGTGGCGTTCCCAGTGGGCTCTTGAAAGCCCTGCTATGTATCGGTATCCTGTCAATTTTACTCTTTCCTATCACTCACTTGAAAGGCTTTTCCCTCCTGGTGTCCCTTGGAGATGAAGTAGCTGGAGCCCTGGTATACAGGTAGTCTTTGACTTTATTTAGTGACCGTTCAAAGTTACAACGGCACTGAAAAAAAGTGACTTATGATTGTTTTTCACCCTTATGACCATTGCAGCATCCCATGGTCACATGATCAAAATTCAGATGCTTGGCAACTGGTTCCTATTTATGACGGTTTCAGTGTCCTGGGGTTATGCGATCCCCTTTTGCGACCTTCTGACAAACAAAGTCAACGGGGAAGCCAGGTTCACTTAACAACCACGTTACTAACTTAACAGCTGCAATGATTCACTTTACAACTGTGACAAGAAAAGGTGTGTAATGGGGCAAAACTTAACAAATGTTTCACGTAGCAACATAAATTTTGGGCTCAGTTGTGGTCATAAGTCGTACCTGGAGGATTGGGAGAAGTGGAATAGAATATGAAGTTATGCTAATGTGGTCCTTTTGCAGCTTTAGATACATAGTTATACAGTAGGATGTTTTTAAAAAGATGAAAGAACAGGTTATATATAGGTTGACCACTATGGATCTTGTTTGAGTATACATCTAAGACTGTTATGCAAAGTAATGAATGGACAGTTATGGAAGGTGGAATAACTGTATGGTATTTGGACAAACGCTAAGATGAGGGGGTTGATTGGCTCTAAATACCCCCCCACCCCATGATGAAGACCAAGTCAAACTTAGCAAAAGCAATTGGAAAACTTCATTCAAAAAATGTGGACCAACAGCCTGGATCCCATGAACTCATAAAGGAAGCTATTCCTGACTAAGTATGAGGGGATCTCCAGCTCAGCTATTTCAGACTTCTTTGCTTTGCTGGACAGAAAATCTGTCAGGAGAATTGCGCAGCAGGTGTCCAAATGAAGTCAGTGGCACTGACATGAACTTGTAGTTTTATATAAATAAATATATTTATTGTTTATATTTACAGTAGACAAGATAGTCAGGAACACAGGAATATCATGAGGTAAATCTAAACAGCGCATAGAGCACACAGAAGAAAAAGGGGGAAAAGGGGAAATTTCCCCTTAAGACCCACAGCAATCAATCACAGCATAAATTGCCTCATGCTTGAGCCAGCACTCTCCAACCAGTTGTAGTTCAACCACTGTTCCAACAACAACTGTGTGTTCTGGCTCCATTGTACACTTTATTGTTCCAGCTACTAAATTAAATATTTTAACAATCTATTGGATTGACCACATGATTCAGCCTTGATCATCTGAATGTGAATTTTTATTCAGATAGACTAAGTCTTTTTCTTCTGTGTTTATTTTAATAAGCTTGTTTTATGAGATGTAACCTTATTCTTAGTAAACATTGAATTGAATCAGTTGAAAATATGAACATAAAGCACTTTTATATTTAGCAGAAGTCCCCAAGTCCCCAAAGCTTTGCTTAATATAATATCGTGAAAAACTACGGAGTTGCTGAACTAAGGAACTAGTCATATTCCAATAGACAAGGGTGGTTATGTGTCGCGTCGAGCGACCGGTCCGTTGATTCGATTTTCCAGTCTGTTGCTGAATTCCCTTCAAGAAATAATTTAGCGGAGCCCTCGCAAGGGTGAGTGCCAAAGCACAAAGAAAAAGACACAAAACAAATAGTTTCTTTAGGTGAGGAAACACATCGCGCCTGGGGCAGATGGAATTGTCCCGGCGGCCCCGATTGCTTTGCGCTGTCCTCTTTTATTGTGCTGATTCAAAGACGGGGGTGCGGGGTGATTGCAGGAAACAATGAAGTTACAGAGTTAATCATTGAAACCAAGCTACGTGACACAAGGAGCAAACTTCATGACTGATACTTTTCAGGTAAACATGTCTTAATACCAAATACACAGTTTTTAGCTGACACAGACTTTTGGAGTTAATCCTGTCAGTTTCAGTCCTGTCAGTGGAATTTGCCCTGAGAGGTGTACGTGCTAGGCAAGATTTGTTCTATGGCAAAATAGCTAAAGCAGGATAGCCACAGTTATGGAAAATAACAGATGGTGTAAGATAAAATGAATAATTGAATGTACTTCTTTTTGGTATATATGTTATTCTCCTTTTTTGGTATAGTTTAATCAAAGTAACGCCCCGGGCTAAGCTGAGGTCATGAAATGTATAAAAGTGACGCCTCAGGAAGAGCCAGGGGGTTCAGAATCTGCCATGCTAATGCTCTGAACCTTGTGCACAAATAAACCTGTATTCTCCAACTTTTCATGGTCTTGTGTCCTGATTTTGGAAGCAAGATTTGCTGCAACAGAATCATGTCTACTGTGTTTCTCACAAAATAAGGCTGGGCCTTTTTTTTTTTTGACCCCTGGAAAAAATGGCTAGGCCGTCTTTTCGGGGGTGACTTAATTTCCTCCCCCACCTAGAGCGGCCCATACGCACGTACCTCGCCGCGAGGCTGCTTCTATCGGCCGACGAAAGCTCGCCAAATACTAGAATACCCCAATAGCCGATAGAAGCTCCCTGAAGGCAGAGTCCCCAGCCGCTTCGGGCCGAGGTGTGGCTTCCCATGTCCCCTCGCCTTTAGGCAGTCTCTTTCAGGCGATGGTAGCTCCTCAAATGCAGTCACCAGCCACTTCGATCGGCCAGTAGAAGCAGCCTCAGGGCGAGTGCACACACACACACACACACTCCCCTCGCCATGAGGCCGCTTCTTTTGGCAGACGAAAGCTCCCTTGAAGGCAGAGTCCCCAGCCACTTCGGGGCAAGGCGTGGCTGCCCATGTCCGCGGCGAGGGGTGTGTGTGTGTGTGCGCTCGCCCCAAGGCCGCTTCTGCCAGCAGATCGAAGTGGCTGGTGACTGCATTTGGGGAGTTTCCATTGCCCGAAAGAGACTGCCTAAAGGCGAGGGGACACGGGCAGCCCCGCCTCACCCCGAAGCGGCTGGGGACTCTGCCTTCAAGGGAGCTTTCGTCTGCCGAAAGAAGCGGCCTCGCGGCGAGGGGAGTGTGTGTGTGCGCTCGCCCCGAGGCCGCTTCTACCGGCCGATCGAAGTGGCTGGTGACTGCACTTGGGGAGCTTCCATCGTTCGAAAGAGACTGCCTAAAGACGAGGGGACACGGGTAGCCACGCCACGCCCTGAAGTGGCTGGGGACTCTGCCTTCAGGGAGCTTCTATCGGCTATCGGGGTTTTCTAGCCTAGGCTACCTGCAGGGCACTCCTAAAGGCAAGTTTTCTCTCCATCCCACCCGCCCTTCCCCCGCCCATTTCTCTTCACCTCGTGTAGTTCTAACGAACGATGTGAGAAATGGGGAAAAGCATGGTTTAAATAGGCCTAAATTTTGGGGGCAGGGCTTAATTTCACCTCATGCCTAGAAATCATGCTGGGCCTTCCTATTGGTGGAGGCCATATTGTTGGAGAAACACGGTATATTTAGAGTTGCCCTGAGGTAACATGAGTGGCCAATAAATTTTATGAATAAATAAATCTTTTTTTGAGCCAGTGAATGTAATTACTATGGAAAGAGAAAAAGTGTGTTTCTTAGGCTTTCCTCAGGGAGTCAAACTATATAAGGTGGAGGATGTCATGGTATGGTAGAAGCACTGCCAGCTTTGTACACATGTGCAACATCAGTTCATGTACAAAAAGGGTAGACTGTGCTCACCATCTTGTAAATTTTAATATGCTCCTCTGTAGATGTTACTGATGTGATCTAGTAGTGCATGTATCATTTATCAAAGCTTGATAAAATATTACACTGAACCTCTAGTGTCTTCATGTTAATGCTTTGCAGAAATTGCAGGAATCAGCCTAGACTCTTATATCAAATTATAGTAGATATGAATGTGAGATAATTCAGTGTCCTCAGTAAAGAATAATCTTTGTTGGATATCTAGGGTTTTTTTCTGGCTATCCAGGTCTGTGGAATTATACTTTTTCTAGGGAAATAATTATTTTATTAGGTTGTCCATCCTTGTAATTACGTAGTTCCATCACAACCATATCATAATAAGTAAACTTTCAGATTTATTCAGCCACTGATTGAAGTTTAGTAAAGTTGAATATTGGCAATAACCTGTAGATTTATCACTGTCCAGATATTTGCAGCCAGATCTAGTTACCTCATATAACACACTGTGGTAGAAAAGTAAATGTTGAATCTTATTTAACATTTGATCTGGTTCTATCTTTTCCTGTCTTCATCATAGTTGAGCAGTGATGATTGGTGTAGAAATAATTGTAGCTGTGGTTTTTCCTGCCCTTGACATTTTCTTATTTTCTTTATGGATCTATAGCAAACTACCCAACTGGTGTCCTCCAGGTGCACATAAAATGTTTGTGCTTCCTGTGGTTGACGGAGATGTTTTTCTGGGGAAAAAAGGACCCCACCAATTTGGAAAAGCCTTAAAGCTGAACATAGCTTCTCCTATTTTTGTGCAAACCCATTTGACTTAGGAGGGCACAGAAATAATCAAAACACTTAGCATCAAAAATGTCCTATGTGATGTTGAATCAATGCTGATATTCCTCTGGAGACCTGATAAATGTCCCTTTCTCACAGATGTGACTCCTCTATCATCTTACTAAAACCTTGTTGCCTCCTAACAATAAACATGAATTGAAAGCAAGGCCATAACTCCCTGTACTGTTCCTGTAATTTTAGATAAATTACAAACACGCACATGTTTAGAAGGCTTTCATTGCCTCATTTGGTCTTTGTGTTCCATAAACAAATTTTCCTTTTGAATAGTTGTTACTCAAATATGCAGGAAACTAGTAGGAACAAGTGAGATTCATTTTTAAAAAAAATCATACAATTGATCCTGAAATTTTTGAATTTGAATGTGTGCTGGGGAGCTGAAACCATATTTAGATGATAAATTTGTATACTTTGAATATTTTGTCCCAGTTCTCTGCATCAGTGTTTTAAAATATGCTTTGCTGCTTTTAATGGGAGTTACTTTCAAGTAAATATGTGTAAAATTTCAGGTGTGCAGCACAGACCTCTGCATGTTTTCTTGAAAGTCAGTCCAACTGACTTCACTGGGACTTACTCCCTGTGGTATGTTATGATTGCAGCCTTCAGCTGCTAATTATAATTGTTCCTCTATTTATAGGAATGCCGAGGGTTATATGCTTAGAACCAATTTCCTTTTCTCAGTTTATTAAATTATAAAGTGTTCAGCAAGATGCTCTATGTGATATGTCAGAAGTTTCTCTCATGCCTGCTTTTATATGGACATTAAAATTATTGAATATTAGTAATCTGCTTTACAGTTTACAACTGTCCTATAATTTTCAGGTTCAGTTTAAACATATTTCTACAGGATTTGTTTTGTTCCTCCCTTAAAATAATATAATTTATTTTTTAAAAAAATTAATTTATTTTTAGAGGCTGAAAAATAATAAAACCTCCACCAGAACTGTTGAATATAAAATCAAATGATTTAATATTTGTTGGGACTACCATCTTAGGATATACAGTTTACATTTCAACTTAGAATGTTGTAGGGAGACCCACACCTGTTGTATTTTAACAGCGCCCTGGAACTGTTTATAGAATCCATTTTAATTTGTTTTAATTCTAAAACTGTTCAATTTATATCTTACTTTGGGTTCAAGAATTCAAGACAGCATAATTAGCACTAGTCCTCCTGTTTTCCATACAATAATAATTTGTCAGGTATGTGTAACATTTCTAAAAATAGTTCTTCTAAGGCACCTCCCAGAATAGTACTCAAGTTGCTGTATTCTTGCCCAACTAGGCTACACATTCACACAATACTCAAATCCACTGTCAACACAGGTGATCAGACTGTGTTAGAATGGGCTGGGAAGCAGACTCAGGGTGTCCCTTGCTCTAACAAGAATCATCTCACACTTCAGGGGTCTGGATTCATTCCAGTCTTCTTTTTTTATATCCAGCTTGTTTACTCTAAAACTCAAGTGTCACATCAGGAACTTTATTTGCTTACTCCCTGTTCTATGATCCCATGAAAAATGCAATCCATTGCATTGCTTGCACCCACCAATGTTCTAGCTGTTACCATCAGTGATAAATCACTCATATGCACATTCAGGACCTTCCATTATTATTAGTATTACACACATTCCAGCAATGTGAGGTTCCCAGTGGATTCATGCAAAGAATAAACATGGCTATACCAAAAGCCCAGTATACCAATGACTTATTTTAATATATAACATAGATCATATTTGTACCGTGTTTCTCATATAATAAGGCTGGGTCTTATTTTTTTTTGAGCCCCGAAAAAAGGACTAGGCCGTCTTTTCGGGATTGACTTAATTCCCCCCCCTTTGAATCTTCGGGTGGGCGGCGACGGCTTGGATGTTGACCTCGGCGTTGGTGGGGCACTTTGTATCGGGGTCAACGCAGGCAGCACCATATCTGGGTGTGCAACAAAAGTACTTCCTAACGGCAAGCCCCCCCCCATTCCCCCCATTTCGCATGTTTTAATATAGGCCTTAATTTGGGGGGAGGGGCTTAATTTCATTTCATGCCTATAAAACATGCTGGGATTTCCTATTGGGGGAGGCCGTATTGTTTGAGAAACAGGGTAATATATTTGTAACATATAATATCTAACATCTTTGGGATGGATATTTCATAACTAGAGGCAGCCTCCATGGAGAAATCCTGCTCCACGGAAAACAGTCACCTGGTGTTCCTCAGCATGGAAGAAACTCATCTAGTCAGAGTTTCTATTCTTTAGGACTGGGGTGGAAACCCGGAGGAAAAGGTGTTTCCTCAGATAGTGTCACTGCAAATGGGTAGAGCTTTTCAGCCATCTTGATAAAACCTGCATATTTCCCTGTATGATTTTACCTTTCTCAAATGTGTTTAAGACTACTGTATATGTGGTTTTCAGTGCAGTGTGATCCCAAGGTTGGAAGATTGGAGGGAGAGTTTCTGCTATCCATAGGGAGTTCACCTCGCTTACCAGAAAATCTGTTGGAACTAAGCAGGTAAGGAGCTGCTTTACTAGCTGAGTAAGAAAGACTAGAGTTACTATGATGTATCACATGATGTTGGCTGCTTGATAGCTTCCTTGACAAAGTGAAGATTATTTCAAATATATTGTTGGAAAATTCCAGAACTGGTGGCTAATTCCATCTGCCTGCCATGGATAATGCTGCACTGATTGCTGAACTGTTTGAGCAAAGTCTAATGTGATGGACAGCGCACATACCAAATGATTTAGTGCAAAGATTTTGTTCCTTGTAGAGTTGTAATTGCAGGAATGTTCCAATCTCGGATGGCAAACCTCAGATAAAGAATGTTTCCAAGCAAATACAACTCAGGCAAACGAAGTCACTAATCTATGGATAAAGAAGGATTAGAGAGGGGAAGTAGACATATGTTAGACTTTAACTAGAGATAATTAATTGTATGGATTACTGTACTAAACAGTAACGAAAGTTAAGCAGTAACCAAAGTTAACCAATGATGGAGGATAACTAAAAATGTATATAAATGCAAGACTATATTCCAATAAAGATCATCATAATTCAGTTGTTCATGATCAAACAACTCGACTGCCTCGACATTTCAACAGTTCCTATCAGAATGATGACACAGATTATTCATGAGGTAAATCTGGGGGCATAACAGCTAGTTCTGAAGGCATTTTCTCTCCTGGAGACGGGACAGCACTTGTTTTAGTGAAGAATAGGGCCTATACTTGGGATTTTTCATGAGATCTCAACAAGATGGGGACCTGATTCGGTCTACCTTTCATTGCAGTGGGCAATAGAAAAGATAGAGATATTTTCTCCAGAAGACAATGGTGCAAAGGGGATTGCTATCCCATGTTACTGTTGTGAGAGGTTTTGCTCTGTGTTTTTGATGAATCCCAACATTATTCATCCTGGGGCAGCTGAGAAGTTTTCATACGGCTCTCTTGCTACATTTTCCATATATGTTATTATCTTACACCATCTGTTACTTCTGCTATTCATCTCTTGCAATACATTATAGAAAATATCTAGTACATAGGTCACGTTACATTTGTTATGTATATGTAAATAATGTAGTTGGGTTGACTATATAAACTACAAATATATATGTTTGTAGCTTTAAGGAAAAATACTGTAATGTATTATGCTGTGTTCTGGTTGGATAACCATAGCTTCAAGTTGCCATAAGAGGGAGCTATAGATCATGGTTTAATTCTCTCTCTTTTTCACTGATGATCTCTCTTGAGACTGATACTGACTGACTACTGACCGATACTGACTAACCCTGTTTATTTTGATATTCTGTTGATATCAAAGGTTATTTGTTGTATTATGGTTTGATATTTGTCTGCTGTAAAAGACATGGAACCGGTAAGAAGACTTTATAACTGGATATTTCTGGACTGTTAAAAACGTGTATGACATGGACTGTTTATTGGACTGTGCTATTTGTGATTTATTGTTACAATGGCACAACAACAGTCAACCAGTCTATCCCTGATAACCCGGTTGGATGGAACAAACTATGTTTCCTGGTCTATGAAGTGCAGCCTATTTCTGCGTAAAGAAGGATTATGGACTGTAGTGAATAATCCACTGGATGTAACAACTTTGGATCCATCGAATGATGAAGATAAAGAGAAAATAGGTCATAGGTCAGTTTACATGTTACATTCAGCAAGTTCCTGTATTTTCTAAAGCTTGCAACATATAAGTCAAATAACTTCTGCTAATAGTATTAATACCTTTTGGTATTTTTCTCACACTGCTTCAGGCCCTTTGCAAACATAACTTTGGCTACACAGTACTGCCAAAGGTACTTACAATATAAGTAATCTTTGGGAATATTGCCAAAATATTCTACCATTGGTTTCATCCCTGGGGACTGATAGTTTTTTCATTTAATTTTTTTTTAGTTACAAACAGTCTCACTCTTTTGAAGGGGGGACAAAATTAGAGTCAGTTCATGCATCTAAGGATCACTGCCTTAAACTGTTTGCTATTATACATGGTTCTTCCATTTTTCCTATTTTCTTTACTAAGGCAACTTTTGTTTTGGTGAATTATTCAGAACTGTAATGAGTAAGCTGAATTGATCATAAGTGAAAGGGAGGGTTTCTGTCACAGAGCAGAATAATTCTTAAACCCTGCCTTCTAATTGGGAAATGTAGCTCTAACTTTTTTCCTGTTGGGTCTGTCTAAAAGCTGACAGATGGATGCTCTCTTTTAGGAAAGAAAGAAGAGTGTATCTCTATTGGTCTTATCCATCAGCAATTTTTGACATAACTGACCATGGTATTATTCTGGATCAGCTCTGTAAAGTAGCACTCTATTGCAATAGCTCAACTACTCCAGTGGACTTTAGTCTGATAACAATGCCCATGCAGTGGTACTATCATTCCTAGAGATCCAAAGTTCTTTGTGTGCTTGGTCTAGAAGCTGAAGCTGCTACAGAATGTGGCAGCCAAATTGTCTTTGTTGGGGGAAATTCCCCAGACCCTTTTAGTGAATGGGAGACCATAATCATAGCTATGAGTTAAATTTTATTGAAATAATGTACAGAAGGAGAATGCAAGATATGTAGATGGAGGTTTTTATGGCTTTTATGATAGGTTTTCATCTTCAGACAATTGAAACAACCCTTCCCTGTTGGATCATTTATAGCAATAGCAATAGCACTTAGACTTATATACAGCTTCCTAGTGCTTTGACAACGCTCTATATGAGTTTACAGAGTCAGCATATTGCCTCCAACAGTCTGTGTCCTCATTTTACCAACCTTGAAAGGATGGAAGGCTGAGTTAACCTTGAGCCTGTGAGAAGTGAACTGCTAGCAGTTGGCAGAATTCGCCTAGAAATTGCTAGTTCAGCATGTGTCAGCAGTTTCCCAGACTCTCACTTCCTTTTCTTTGTGGCAGTTTCCTAATGTTCTTTGCTAGATTCTTACATTTTTAGCAACTTAAGCAATCCACATAATATGCAGCCCCTCAGAGAGCAGACTCAAGTTACCAAATAGGGTAAGGATCATTTATCCAGTATTTTCTCTTTCATTCTCCTAGTTTCCTTTTTTCCAACGCTTATGTTTCATGTTCTAGACACTGGGAATAGAAGAAAATAAGCCTCTTTAGAGAAACTTACTGTTGTGTAATATAGTGAAGAACAATGCTCTATCTATTATATCCTGGGGCTAGTCAGCAAATCAGAAATTATTAAGGGACTTCATAAACTCTATGAAATAGGATTACCTGGGACAGACTTATTAGAGAAAAATAGGTGTGCTGCTAATGCTGCATTATTTCTTAGCCATGAAACTATCACATCAGGATGGGCCTTTAAAAAATGTCCCAAACCACAAGAATGTCACAGCATCTTTCAAAGCAATGTTTATTCATGAACAGCTGCAAAACATATTTACAAAAGACTTGACATTTCAGAATTAACAGAAAATGTCATATAACAACATGGTTGAAAGATGCAGCCAAGTAGTCTTAATGTCAGCTTTGGAAGCCATATTAGCACCAGACGCTTCCACACTGCCACATTCTTGAGCCTGGGAAAATGGGAGGAGGGAATTTCTTGGAGTGTATGTGGTTAGACATAATAGCATTCTTCTTCTAAGTCAAGGTCACGTTATTTCTGTACCTGGTTGAAAGGACGCCTCAAGTTGGGACGGATGGTGATTGGGGCATGTGATGCAATGGGTGCAGGGGTGCATTTGTAATTTTTATTTATTGCAAAGAAATCCAGAACTTTCAGATTTGGGATTTTCAAGATGTGCCAGTTTACCATTCAAATAAAAAGAACTTTTGGAGAGGATGTCTGTATCGGAATTATTTGTTGGAGTGGAGGTTTTCTGGAATGCTGACACTTAAAGGAGGCAATCAAACTTAAGATTTTCATCTTGCTTAGGAAATATGAAATGATGATCGCTTTTCACTTGGAAATTCTGCTGCAAGCCGCACTGACATATAAGGGGATTGTCAGTATAATATGGATGCAAGAATGTGTCAAAGTGCATCAAGCATTTTTAGCAGAAACTGGAGAAGGTAACCAAGAAATCTAAATGCAATTGGAAAGCAAATTCCTAATAACTTGGAGTAGCTCCAGCTTACCTGTAGGACTATAAACATGGTTCAATTGCCTTTTTTATAGCTATAGTCATGGACATCTTTAGCCTGGCATCTAAAGCATAATAGAAAATATCCATTGACCTAGTATGTGCATCATATAAAGATGGTCATAGGAATATGAACACTTGTGAGTTTATATACAGTTTCAAAAACAGTCACTGCCCCTTTCTGGGTTCACAATCTATCCAGCAACTCAATCCCCTTGATAGTTGCTACATCCTACTTTTATTTATTTTATCATGACAACTGGTTTCTTGACCTGCCAACTATCTTCCTTTGACTGTCAACTAATTTCTGTTGACTTGCCAGCTAATGTCCTAACTGGAAATATGCTAAGGCTTTTATAGTCTTGTTCATTTCCTTTCACTTAACATTCTTACATAATTTCCTATCCGGGATTCTTAGGTTATACTAAAATGGTGTTATTATTGCTCTTTCTTTACAGGAATAATTCTCATTTCTCTCACACTTCAATATAGAGATTGCCAAACATACTGATACCATCTCCACACATTCCGAAAGAAATAAGTTGACATGGACAGAAGTGAATTGTATCCATCATTCTTTATTCCATAGTCTATAACATGGACAATTTGCTTTTGATGTATGACATAACATATTCTTGTAAATAATAAAACAAATGAAAATGGTTCGTAGCATGTGTTTTACAAACTCCAGTCTGGATTTTTGTATCTGTTTTTCAGAAGTAAGAGTTTTCTTGGGTTTTCTACCATGAAGGCCACTTTCAATTTGGTAATATATCAGTGATGGATGGTACAAGTTGATATTGTTGTATTTTAATCTTGGGTGGGTGGGGGTATTCTGTTCAAATTAAGGTTAGGGTTTTTTGTAGCTATGTCCACAGTTGGCTACAATCCATGAACCTTGAGATTCTTCATAATGTTAATAATGGTGATTATTATTATTATATTATAGCTTTAACATTGCCATGCTTGGCTGTTACCTTCTTCCTTTCTTTCTCATACAACACTTCACATTTCCATGTTTATTGTGCTGCAGTGAATACAAAACACCTGAGTGAATACTGTTCTGTCTTCAAATAGATTTGAGTGACAGATTATGAGACTGAAGACACCTGTAATATTAAGTCTGCTTGAGAGATCGCTCAAATTCAATGTCTTAAATTCTAAGGGTCATCAATAATTATGTCCATGCCATTTTCATTATTATTTACAGGAATGTGTAAACTCATATATCAAAAACAAAGGTTCTGTTCGGTGGACTATGGAGTAAAGTTTGTTTTCAACTTATTTCACAGCAAATTGAAATTCTAGGGGAAAATGCAGAGGGGTACCAATACTTTCAGCTGGATTTGTATATACAGTCTGCTAATAAGTGCAGTACGTTTAGGTGTGAGCAGAGTTAACATAGTTACTGTAGCAAAGAAAAAGAGAACTTTTGTCTTCAGTAAATTTTGCTTCAGAATAAATGTGGGAAACGAAAATATAGCCTATTGATGTATTCGATTTAATAAGGCCTATGGGGATGATAGCAGGCCCCAAAATAAAGATATGAATCAAAATCTTCAGCCAGGATGATTTCATAATGTGAAAGAATTATTTGTAATTTGCTAAGCAGTTGCAATTTGTGTAATATGATATTACGAAGAGGATAGTTTCATGAGTATATTTGGAAGTAGAAGGATGAAACCATGAGAAATAGGGAACTGAAAGTAACAGATGGGGGTTTCAGATGTTCACGGGTATGGAAATTAAGTAAGAGAGAACAAGGACATGGGTTATAAAACATGTCATGAAAATGTCCATCTGTGTGTGACTGTTGGCAGAAAGGTATAAAAATAGGAGCTGGAAATCAGGTCAGGGCCACTAGCCTATAGCTATCCTTGCTGGACCTGCTGTGTCACTGGACCTCATTGCAGTGGGTTACAAATGTAAGTGCTGTTACAATGACTGTTTATACTCCAAATTACTATCGAAATAAACCTCTGAATCTGTGGTGGTCTCTCATGGAAAAATGAGACACAAACAAGTGTTCTCGGGATGAGAGCCCAGAGCAAAATCCAGCACTCCCTTTTATTGAGATTTTAGTACATGGTAAACATAGCAAGCATAATCACATGATGGGTTACAATAGTTAGATATAGTACAGACTTGTTTACAATCGTCTGAGCTGCTTCCTTGTTCCTTGTGTTTGTTCTTACCGTTCTCATTGTGAAATTTCCTTGCACTATCTCAGTGACCTTTAAACAAGCATGTATGTACAAAGCATTAGATTAATCATTACCCAAACCCAAGCCAAAGTTTTATTCCCACATGAATCTTTAAGAATTATTGTTTGTATTGCTGTCTTTTGTTTCTTTCATTGGGATTTTTCCACGATATAAGGAAACTTAGAATTGCAACCTCAAGCTGTTTTAAATGATGAATAGAGAGGTCTTTTGTTAATGACAACTACCATTATGTTTTAACTATGACTCCTGTCACAACACTTACATATTTTACAGGTGTTAAGCAGGGATGGATCCAACTGGTATAACTATCGGTTCTGTCTATTAGCATCATGTGCGCATGCGCGAGTCGCGCGAGTGCAATTTACAATCTGCTGAGCTGCCCGGACAGCTGAGCAGCGCTGCGTGCAAGTGCACAGTGGTTGGAAAAGCCCCTTTTTTCCTGCTTTTCAACTGCAGCTGTGTCGCACAAAGCAGCTGCAGTTGTAAAAGCAGGAAATAAAGGTCGGGTAAGAGCCCAGACGGGCGGGTGGGCCACAATAGCAGCAGACATAGAACCGGTTCTATGTCTGCTGCTCTTCGGAGCAACCAGTTCTACAGAGGTGGACAGAACCGGTAGAAACCCACCCCTGGTTTTAAGACACGGGGGAGCATGTTTATTTTATTTATTTCTAAACCACCCATCTCCCTCAGAGAGCATCATTTGTACATAATGTGCCTGTGTAATGAAGCCCTCATTTGATCAGGAAAACTCACCCCTTCAGTTTGTTCTAAGTATTTCTCACCTCTGAAGTTCCAATACTACACAATACTAGGCTTATGCTGAAGAGGGAGACTTTGTAAATAAGAGATAAACTATACAAAACATGATGTTGCAATAGTGGCAAATATCTGTAACTCAGGTGTTAGATGAGGATGAAGCTTTGTTCTCCAAGCTTGTGGGCTGGTTTCCAAACATTTTGTTACCAGGATAGGTCACATCTTCAGCAGAGATTAGGGGATGTCAGTGTTTTTCTGTTTATAATCTTGTGTTTTAGATCTTCTGTTTTAGATCTTGTGATGGGTCGGTCATGTGTGAGTATGTCAGTTGAGGGGTCTTGTGATGGGTCAAGTGGGAGTCATCAGTGGGAGTCCTGTGATGGGGAGTTTACATAAGGTGAGGATCATTGGGAGGTGAAATGCTAGTTGTGGGGGGGGGGGTGTTGCGTGAATTGGTTGAGGGTTGGTGCTTCTCTGGTTAGCTGTGCAATTGATTTGGATTCTGAAGGGCTCATAGGCTGTATGTCAATGTGTCTGTTGATGGAATTGCTTAGAGTGCCAGGCTTCGATAAACTCACATGTGTGGTAGGTAGTAGCATGGCCAATAATACTTGTATTGTTCAATCATCATCCAATTGAATAAAAAATGCAATCCACTGCATTCCTTATGCCCACTAATGTTTTACCTGGTATCACCAACGTTAAATCTTCTACATATGTACAGGTGAAACTTGAAAAATTAGAATATTGTGCAAAAGTTCATTTATTTCAGAATGCAACTTAAAAGGTGAACCTAATATGTGAGATAGACTCATTACATGCAAAGCAAGATAGTTCAAGCCGTGATGTGTCATAATTGAGATGATTATGGCTTACAGCTCATGAAAACCCCAAATCCACAATCTCAGAAAATTAGGATATTGTGAAAAGGTTCAATATTCTAAGCTCAAAGTGTCCCACTCTAATCAGCTAATTAAACCATAACACCTGCAAAGGGTTCCTGAGCCTTTAAATGGTCTCTCAGTCAGGTTCAGTAGGAATCACAATCATGGGAAAGACTGGAGACCTGACAGTTGTGCAGAAAACCATCATTGACACCTTCCATAAGGAGGGAAAGTCTCAAAAAGTAATTGCAAACGAAGTTGGATGTTCCCAAAGTGCTGTATCAAAGCACATTAGTAGAAAGTTATGTGGAAGGGAAAAGTGTGGAAGAAAAAGGTGCACAAGCAGCAGGGATGACCGCAGCCTGGAGAGGATTGTCAGGAAAAGGTCATTCAAAAGTGTTGGGGACTTTCACAAGGAGTGGACTGAGGCTGGAGTCAGTGCATCAAGAGCCACCACACACAGATAGATCCTGGACAAGGGCTTCAAAAATCGTATTCCTCTTGTCAAGCTGCTCCTGAACAACAAACAACGTCAGAAGCATCTTACCTGGACTAAAGAAAAACAGAACTGGTCTGTTGCTCAATGATCCAAAGTCCTCTTTTCTGATGAGAGTATCTTTTGCATCTCATTTGGAAACCAAGGACCCAGAGTCTGGAGGAAGAATGGAGAGGCACACAACGCAAGACGCTTGAAGTCCAGTGTGAAGTTTCCACAGTTTGTGTTGATTTGGGGAACCATGTCATCTGGTGTTGGTCCACTGTGCTTCATTAAGTTCAGGGTCAACGCAGCCGTCTACCAGGAGATTTTGGAGCACTTCGTGCTTCCTTCCGCAGACGAGCTTTATGGGGATGCTGACTTCATTTTCCAGCAGGACTTGGCACCTGCCCACACTGCCAAAAGCACCAAAACCTGGTTCAATGACCGTGGCATTACTGTGCTTGATTGGCCAGCACACTCGCCTGACCTGAACCCCATAGAGAATCTATGGGGCATTGGCCAAGAAAGATGAGAGACATAAGGCCGAACAATGCAGAAGAGCTGAAGGCCGCTATTGAAGCATCCTGGTCTTCCATAACACCTCAGCAGTGCCACAGGCTGATAGCTTCCATGCCATGCCGCATTGAGGCAGTAATTGCTGCAAAAGGGACCCAAACCAAGTACTGAGTACATATGCATGCTTATACTTTTCAGAGGTCCGATATTGTTCTATGTACAATCCTTGTTTTATTGATTGCATGTAATCTAATTTTCTGAGATTGTGGATTTGGGGTTTTCATGAGCTGTAAGCCATAATCATCACAATTATGACAAATCATGGCTTGAACTATCTTGCTTTGCATGTAATGAGTCTATCTCATATATTAGTTTCACCTTTTAAGTTAATTTTTCGAGTTTCACCTGTATATAAAAGCCAAATGCCACTCATCATGAAATCTTCAGAACTGTAAAGCCTATAAACTTGAAATTTGGCACATATGTTCCTCTTGGTTTCTAGTTGCTCGCTAAGAAAGGATTTTTTCGAAATGACCATCAGATCATTAGTATTTCTTATACAGTATTAACATGCTCTGATAGATTAGCACGCTCTGATGCTAAGGAGTTAGACATTCCACTCCCCCTCCCCACCTGAAAAGAACTCCGTTCCAACTGCCAGTTGCCTCAGTTCAAACTGGCAGACGTTCCACTCCTTCACTCAGAAGTGGTTTGGGGCTCCTTACAATACTAAACATTGTTACCTCACCAAAACGTCTACGCCTTCCAGCTATGGAACTGCTTCCAAACTCAAGGCGGCAGAAAAGTTATTAGCTCAAGTTGTGTTTGCAGGGTTATTGATCCTCTCAACAACATTGTCCTCAGTAAAATAAGCCCGATCACATAGTGTCGTAGCGAAGCACAGGTATCCAGCTAGTCATTTACACACTCACTCAGAATCTTTCTTTATCGGTAGTACACAACATTTCAGCAAATTTTCTAACAGCAAAAGGTTTTTGAACAGCCTGCCTCAAGAACTGCTAGAAAGTAGCATCTGTGGTTACCTGATGAGAACCTGTGGCTACCTACTTCTTGCTAGTGATGTGAACTGTATCCTGACCTTGTATATTGAAGCTTCTATAAATTGAATCTATGTGGCATGGATAAGTTTTGTTGTTTATTGTTATGGTTTTTTTGTAGGCTGCCCAGAATCACTTGTTTGTTTGTGAGATGGGCAGCTACATAAATTAGATGAATAAACTGGTTATGCATCCATCAGATTCCTATTGTGACCTTGCTTTAATGTGGTAATATATTTTATTAATCATTTTATCATTTTCTGTAAGGCCTTTGAAATACTAGCAATAGGTCTAGGGATATAGACATTCTTGGTGGGGGTAGGAGTACCTTTGCTCATGAGTGTCTCATCCTGTTTTGATCTGCAAGTTTAGAAGGAATAGGAAAATAGGTAAAAGTTCAAGGTACACAGTTGTGCTTTCTCATGGGACTTTCCAAACTTTCCCATGAGACTTTCCGTGGCTGTATGATCTCATCCTAGTAAGGTAACATCTGGGACTTTCCAAGATTGTGTGTTCTCATGCTGGTGAAGTAATCTCCTGTTGAGGTCATTGTTTTCTGAATATGCATACTGTATTTTTGCTTGTGTTTTTTCTCAATAAATACTGCTACCTGAGTTCACTCAGGGCTGGCATTTTCTCAGACATTTCCCTGTGTCTCATTTCGAATGTCAGTCCACCATACTTTAAAATGCTTTTAGTAGTGCATTTCAATTTCATGATATGTATAATACTGAGAAATTAGGGTTATATACTAATTACAAGTAGTCCTCATTTTGTGACTGCAATAGGGATCAATGATTGGTTGTTAAACAAAATGGTCACCAAGTGAAAAATCATGTGACTGCACCTGTTTACTATTTTACTTAAGCTTTCCTTCACTTTACAGCATCAGAAAGATACAATCCCAATAATATGGTGAACCCAAATGGTGTGTAAATTTCTGGAATTGGACATATGAGAAAGCCGGGTAAAAGGGCAAAAGTTATATTGATAGTCCTTGACTTATAATATTTTTTTCAGTGATTGTTCAACTGCGCTGAACCTATCACAGACATTCCAGGCATTGTAGCATCCACCATAATGGTCATGTGTTCAACATTTGGGTTCTTGGCAACTCACCTGCAGGTGTATTTCAACTTCTCCACTCACCTATCTCCTCCTAACTCTGCCCTTTTGCCCCCAGCTACCATCCCAGCTGACTTTCTTCATCATCTTGCTCCCACTGCTAATGTGATGGGCCCGGCCTGGCTGCTGGGCTAGGCTGGGACTGGGCTTCACATAAATCCCAAAGCAGTCCCTGAAATTGAGTTGAACTCCTAGTGACTATATGCAGAAAAATTGTTTGCTGTTGTCTTTTTCTGAAATTCTGGTTTGACTTTCAAGCCTAGCTTACATCCATATGTGGAATTTCTTGTGTTTTTTTAACCTAGATTGCTTACGTTTCAAGGTCAGATAAGGTATTCATTCTTAATCAAGATTAATATAATAAATTGGAATTTTTTTCTATGTAGCTCTGACCAAATAGGAGGAAACATGCATCAAGTTTTAGGAACCAAAATTCTTGTATTTTCTTTTTTTCAGAAAACATTGTCATGTGACATTAACAACACTGAAGAGTCAACACCATTCAGTAAAAACCATTCTTAGAAAATGTAAGTATTAGATTAATATCCAGATATAATGATCATTGGTTTCTGACTCATATGAGCTATATGACCATGAGTGGCATAGTGGCCTAGAAGTGAAGACACTCCTCCCACTTGGAAGGTTGAGAGTTCAATCCTGGGCAGCGGCAGGTGTTTCTGTATCTAGGTGCAAAGAGAAAATATCTGCTGTGAACTCTGCATAGACATCAGGAAGGGCATCTGGCCAGTAAATGCTCAGTTCCACTCAGTCGCCCCAACTCCACCTCAAATAAAGGGATTAAAGGATCATAAAAAAGTCTCTATGACTTATAGCATCATTCCCCAACCTTTATGGGTTGGCGGCCCAGTGTGTGTGTGATAATAATCACAAAACAATTGAAATCTGGAGGCACGGGAACAAGAGGTTTATTATTAAGCTTTTGCAAAAGGGAATTCTGCTCATGGCAGAAGACATTTTCCCCAGAGGGGCTGGGGTTTATATACAGGTTCAAATATAAAGTCTCTGCCCATTTCCTGGATTCACAATCTGTCCAACTATGTATCTCCCTATGCCATACTCATAGCATAACACCTGCTACCTTGTCTTTGGAAACTACCCTCGTTCTCACGGCTAGGTCTTCCTGTTTTGTCCATCGAAGCACAATGGATCATTAACAGGTTTCCGCTGGGTCAGAATGACCTAGCATCTCTTACATTAATCTTTAAGACAAGATTACAAACCCCAATTCCAGCCAAAAACTTAACATTTTACTTTTAGAACATAACAAGTTATAAAACAATATGTTTGTTAGATACAGTTATTTAACTGTCCAGTAATCATTGCACAGTTCATATATTGGATAAACATGGATTCCCTTCTGTTCTTCATTTTCTCAGATGTAACTTACAATATGTAATTTTCCCATATAACTGTGTGTGTGTGGGGGGAGAGAGGATGGTTTTGCATGACAGACAGGCGTGCATGCACAGCTTCATTTGTGTGAGCGGCAGGTTCGCACAAGTGGGATGGGGTGAGTGGGGCTGCAAGTGCCAGCACCTGCTACTCGTGCAAGTAGGGCTGCACACACGCTCACACACCCCTCGTATGGCCCGGTTTCAAATAGGCCATTGCCCGGTAGTGGGCCAAGACTCAGGGATTGGGGACTACTGGCTTTTAGTACCAATATACATTAATTTCTTCAACAGCTTTTGATAAATGGGGATAAATGACAGTTTATGACTTTTTTTACTTTATTGAAGCAGTATGGAACAAAACATGAGAAACCAGTAAAGCTCATACAATGCTAATTTGTTAGTCAGGAGTAGTAGGTCTGACTCAGCTCAAACAAAGAGAGTTCTCTCTGAGTCACATGTTTATTCAGATCTGGACAAAGATGGGTTCTCCCATTAGTCTGAGAAAGACCTCAAATGATTCCTTTAATGTGCTGTAGAGTTGTAATTGCAGGAATGTTCCAATCTCGGATGGCAAACCTCAGATAAAGAATGTTTCCAAGCAAATACAACTCAGGTAAACAAAGTCACTAATCTAAAGGAGGATTAGAGAGAGGAAGTAAACGTATGTTAGACTTTAACTAGAGATAATTAATTGTGTGGATTACTGTGCTAAACAGTAACGAAAGTTAAGCAGTAACCAAAGTTAACCAGTGATGGAGGATAACTAAAAATGTGTATAAATGCAAGACTAGACTCCAATAAAGATCGTCATGATTCAGTTGTTCATGATCAAACAACTCGACTGCCTTGTCATTACAACAATGTGCTTTTATACTATACTTGGTTACATAAGCAGGAAACACAGCTATCTGAATGAAAGTAACTAAAATATCTGTTCCCACATCCTATAGCGATAAGTATTTTGATCAAGCTTTATTTTAAAAACCATTGCGGTTTCCTTACATTCTGGACATATGTCCTTTACTTCAGCCATTTCAGTATAGGAATCTTGATCATCACAATCCTGATAAACACATTAGGAACTCACGACACTCTGTAACCATAGTTTACAGTATTTTGCAGCTTGTTTTAATTTCTATGCCTACTTCCCTTAATCTTTTGTAATCTTGCCTTCCACACTGCAGCAATGTATCATTTCTTGGTTTCGGAGATAGGAATAGCAAGTAATAGCTGTCATAGCAACTCCGCGGTTTCATGTTTGGCACACTGTAATTAGATGGTCATTATATCATAGCACTTGAATTATTTCAGCAAGCTAGTGGACATGGCCTCACTCTCTCGTGAATGCATACATGAGAAAGCTTTCATGTCTTGTGACATCTGGCCTGGGACAAGCTGTGAGATATCAGTAAAGAAAAAAAAATATAGATGGTTCTTTATCTCCGTAGGATAGCATATGAAAAGTAATTCACAAGGAAAGAGTTGCCTGCTTACATAAGTTTAAATACTGTTAAAAACTCAAACTATTACGCCTGAAAAAGAGGGGCTTCTTTTTGAAAAAATAACTTCAGAATACTAATTTCTGAGTTTTAAGAGGAGGGAATATGCACATTAGGAATGCTTCAGGTATGTTTTTTTAAAAATGCTGTAAAAGATGCAAAAAATGCAAACAAAACACTTGCCTGTGGCTCAGTAAATCAGCTAGTACAGTTTTGAGGCTCAGTTCCAAAGTTTTGCATGCCTTCAAGGTGCATCAGCAGTTTACCAAATACTTGAATTTCATAAGCTGGCGTATATTTTTTTAGAGATATACTGTGTTTCTCCCGAAAATAAGATGTATCTCAAATATAAGCACTAGCTTGATTTTTACACTTGTGTCTAATATAAGCCCCCCCCCCCCCAAAGTCCTAGTTAAGACTCCATCCAGTCAGTTGCATTTGGTTGCACAGGGTGGGCAAGGTGCATGAGTAAAAATCAAGTGAGGGTAGGAATGGGGGAGGGTTGAGCTGCTTACCTTCAGACAGTTGTGGCCAGGCCTTGCACACCCTGACACCTGCCTTGTCAGCCCACTTCTGTGTCTGTTCGCCACTGCTCACGTTTGTCGCCCCCAGTCTCCATTTCGTCATCAGAGGCCTTCAGAAAAGGCCTCTGCAGCTAAGAAACGGGCTCTGGATTGATGCACAAGGCGTTCCTGGCATCGTTTTGACCTTTCCTGAAGGCTTCTGATGGCAAAATGAGGCCAGGGGGCAAGTGGCCACAGAAGAAGTGGTCCAGCAGTGGGCTTCTGCTGGGCAGGGCTGTTGTCATTGCTGCTGCTGCTAGGTGAGTCATTGGAAGACATCCCCCCAAAATAAGACATGGTGCCTTTTTTGGTGGCAAAAAAATATAAGACGGGTTTTATTTGGGGGAAAACACGGTAGATGATTTAGACACTTTGGAGAGTGAAGGATAGGAATAATACATTGAAAAGGATAGCTCTAAAGTGAGGGGATAAAATCAAATTGAGTTTGGGATATGGAACTGAAGCCAAGCAATTGGCGGTTTCTTTTGCTTCCTTTTACTTTTATTGTAACAAAGACTGGAACTGAGAAACTTTTTGCTTTGACAACCAAATGTCTATAACTTTCTAACCAGAAGATAAAAGGGGTTTTCTTTTGTGTGCTTGCAAGCTTAATACAAAGGGCTCTTTCAAGTTATCTTATAGAAGTGTCAACTGGCTGAAATTGTATCTTTTCACAACAGACTCTGATTCTGTGATGCCTTTTCTCATGCTAACGTTTTCTTTTTTTCTACTTTTAATACAATGCTCAGTTAGATGATCAAGTGTGAGAAACGCATTCACCAATCAGAAATTTAACAGAGTCATTAAGTGAATCAGCAAGCAGTTTATTGTAAAATACTTTCTTGCAAGAGTGGATGGCTACCCAAGAATAGATTCCAACAACTTTTTATTTTTTCGGCCCGAAGCGCAAGTCCCTCCCTTGCAATCCCATTTGACAAGGACCACAAGTTCACAATTTTCCCAGAATGCCTAGTTCCCCTCTGTGAATTTCCTCATATTTATCTTTCTCCTCACCCTTTGCCCAGTTCCTGCTATGAGAAATGAAGTTTACACTCAGATTGTTGGAAATAACAAAATGTTTTATTAGAACTTTTGCAAAAGCTGGTGGATCTCCAAGTGTACAAGCAAGAGAGAGACCACACCGGTTGCAGATCTCAACATATTTTATACATTCCTATCATTGGCCGCTTGTCCATCCTTCCCAGATCCAGTTGATAGGACCAGGTCAGTCATGTGCTAACAGTCTGCCTATAATCTGCTATCACACCTAAGTGTTTAAAATTAGTTAAGCCCTTGTTATCACTAAAACTTGCTAAGCACTCAGCCTCTTCATTTCTCACCTTTTTGATATTCCCTTATCAGTTTTCTTGTTTATCTGTACAATGCAGTTCCCAGTACATATCTCAAGCCAGAAGCTGTGTATGTCACTGCTTAGCAGAGTTCATTCATTGAGTAAACATGGCGGTGCTTTAGATATGTAGTAGTATGGCTTTAAAACAATCTTCTATATATATATAAAATCCAAGTAACACTCACCCATCACGGAATTTCCAGAACCGTAAAGACTACAAACTTGAAATTTGGCACATATGTTCCTCTTGGCTTCTAGGTCCTCGCTAAGAAAGGATTTTTCAAAATGACCATCAGATCAGTAGTATTTCTTACAAAGTAATTAACACGATCTGATGCTAAGGAGTTCTACTCCCCCCCTCCGCACCTGAAAAGAACTCTATTCCAACTGCCAATGCCTTATATTAACACACTCTGATGCTAAGGAGTTAGATATTCTACTCCCCCTCCCCACCTAAATGGACTCTGTTCCATCTGCCAGTTGCCTCACATTCCATTACCTCAGTTCAAACTGGCAGTCGTTCCACTCCTTCACTAAGGAGCGGTCTGGGGCTCCTTACAGTACTAAATGTTGGTACCTCAACAAACTATGCCTTCCACCTATTGAGCTGCTTCCAGACTTGAGGCGGGAATGATATTCCCTTATGTGTTTCAATTACTGACCACCACTGAACCAACGGATTGTGAACCGAATTTCTCC